TTCTATTTGGCGGATCCAAAACGGCGGATGCATTTCTTAAAATTTGATGACTGAATATTCTTCGTGGCACTGATTACAAAACTGAAATAAGTTTTCAAAAATTCAGTTATACACGGAATTACCTACAATCCGATGTAATTGTAAACAAGATGCTCATACGTCTCTGTGCAGCAAAATCTCTGCGTCTAACAACACCAGCCAAGCTCGACGTCGAAAACCAACAATCACAACAAACATCTAGCAACTGCGACAACCTCCAACACTCAGAAAGCACTTCTAAGAAAACGGACAAACGCGATCAATTGAGTCACATTTCTCGTTCCCTTAGTACTGCCGGGTAGGAACTTACTAAGTTTTAGAGTGTACCAAAGAATTAGTCAGCGTTTGCGAGTATGTTGGTAGTTATAATTTTGAAGTAGTAGAGGACTTCTAGCGTAAAGACGAATAACAATGGTAATATGGGATTAAATGGTGGATGGATTAAACGATGGTTAGGTGTATATGGTTAACCCAAATAGGGGCACACCTAGACCATAAGCATGGGTTTTTGTTATACCATTACAAATCCTGGGCACTTAGAGAGTAAGCTTTGAAATGATTCCACCTAGTATCTGCGACAGTGAATATTCAATATGATATTTATATAATCCATTGCGCGAATTCCAAAAAGACAGAGTCCTGTCAATATTCGATCCAAAATTAAGTTGCGGCTTCGTGTGCACAAATGGAGCGATTCAATGCATATGGTTCACTCTCGGCTAGAAAGGCCTTTCCGTAGCCATGCGTTGGTTTTTGCCTACTTCTCAACCGAGCCCTCCGTCAAGCTTCGACCCATTTCCTCCCGTCCCCCCTCCCTGAAGACAATATCAGTGGATAAAGAGCACAGTGGTCTATAAGGAATTAAGTTGAAGTCTGAACGAATATTAGAGTATCTTACATAGATCCCGCCGCTAAGTCTGGCTGTATCCTTTGCTACGGAAGTCTTGCAAAGGATGTCGACCGGTGCAATGTTTAGCATGGCGTTACTAGTGGGAGCGGTCATAAATCTCCCATGGCTCCAGCTTTCTTGGTAGCGTTGTCGTTTTGAGTGCTCGGGAAATTAGCATCGAGCAGAAACTGAACGAATACTCGCTGCTCATTGTCCAGTTTCCCGCCTCGCTTCTCAAATTTCTCAGCGAAGCATCCACCCCCCCAGGTTGCCTCCACGGCTCACCGAAGTTCACCTGAGCAACGCAACATCAACACGACCACCTCCCAGCATAACGCAGACACAACCACACCCCCACCTCCCACAGCAGCATACACCACAAATTCCCGGCAGACAAGACCACACCTCACTAATACCCCGTATTGCGATCAGTGTCCCAAAGCACACGAAGATATTACAATTCAACATTAGCAAAGTTGATTCAAGCGGCTTTGCGAAATTTACTGCCCTTCCCACATCAACCGATATTCACGTCGGTCAGCGTAAGTTCCGCCAGGTATTCACTGCTCGTGCAGCCCGCTTCTTTCCCACTGAACGCATCCCGCAAACTCGTCCAAACTTCCCAGCTGAAGCGAAAATCCTAGCCGATGGGCGTGATAACCTTCCATGCTCCAGAAGGAACTCGGAAATCCCCGCGCTATGGAGAAGTTTGAGGAGCACCTGAATACTTGCAACTTCGCCTCTGGTGTGAGTAAGATTTGGTCTACCGTGAGGTCATTGTTCATCTCTACGAAGCGCGACGATAGAGCGGAATTCTTTTTCGGTGACTGCGCTTCGTTGGACCCGGGGCGATGCGTGACAGTGACCAGAAGCCTGCACAAACTATCAATAACCAATGCGCATCTTGCTTTCACCAGCGGTGCGGTTCAGGTAGCCATCGGGAAGGTGAAAGCCTCCAAAGCAATTGGAACCGGCGAAATATGTATGCTGATGATGATAAAATTGTTTCCTGCGGGAGTAGATTATCTGACCGTAGTTCAGGCGAACTATCTGAGTGGTCGACATTCGTTAGTCATTTTCAGAGACAAAACCAGCAAACCGAGGAAAATTAAACAGGGGGTCACATAGTGTTGTGTCCTTTCGCCGCTGCTGTTCAGTTTTTACATATCAAAGCTCCCTCAACTACCATAGGCAGCCCCGATTAACTCTTATGCTGACGACTGCTCGATAATGGCGTCTGGGAATGGAGCTAATGGCTTGTGTTCGAAAGTGACCGATTACCCCTCCGAACTTTTTTGCTTCTTCACTGCAAGGAGCCTAACCTTCTCTCCTACGAAATCCTCGGCAACCCTTTTTACTACCTGGGCGAAGGTCAGACGTGAATAACCCGATTAAATATCCTCGGAGTTACCTTCGACAGTCTGCTCTCCTTCTCGACGCATACAGCGCAATTGTCAATCGTGTACAGAGCTGAAACAAGGTCCTCAAGTCGCTAGCCGGCAATACCCAAGAATGATAGAATACAAGATTGCGCCGATCAGAGAGGATTTTTGAGAATAACTTTTGTGTGACGTCACATTGGTGCAATTGCGAGAGAGAAATGCCAAAACGTGAGCAAGAATGGAAGAAGAAGAAAAAATTTTGCAAGGAAAACGTAAACAAGTTGCACCAGTGTGACGTCATCCAAACAACGATTCTGTCAAATTCGATAAGAGAGGAATAGCGGTCCGAGATCGGCGCAACCTTTGTATTCTCTCAATCGTGGGCAATACCTGGGGCAAAGACAAAGAAAGTTTGTTGGAAACATACAAGGCAATTGGCCGGCCGGCTCTAAATTATGCAGCGCCCGTGTAGTCGCCGAGAACTAGCAGGACACAGTGGACAAAGCTTCAGGCATGCCAAAGCACGGCACTGCGAACCGCCACAGGATGCCTTCTTATGTCGCCGTCAAGGACCACAACACAAAGCTATGTAAGCTGTTCCTAATATAGTGCCATAGACGTGAGTACCCGAACATACACGTGATTGCTGCAGAGCTCTCGCCTAGGCACGTCAGAAGGCATTTATACGAACTAACGGATGAAGTTCAGAGGTTCGTAAAACAACCTGTGGACCCGACAGGCCGCGAACGGTATTCACAGAGAGTCAGTCTCGACTTACACAAACTCCCGACCTATGAATGCCGTTTTGGGGACACAGGCACCAGACGTGGGCGAGACAGAACTTCATCTGCCTCGAGAGATTCACACCACCATAGCCCAACTGCACTCTGGATACTGCACCAGGCTAAGCTTCTACCGAGTAGTATAAATGCGGATGTGTCCAATGAATTTCCGTTTGGTGGAGAGTCACCTCACGACTCGCAACACATCTACGCATGCCCCCGGCAACACAATAAACTAACGCCTCTCTCCCTCTAGCCTAGTCCTAGTTGAGCACACTCAGAAGAGTTGAACAAGACAGAAGAAGGACCCATATAGTCGATAGGGTGGTGGTAGTATAAAATGACTAAGAAACTGAGAACACTATAACAGTAGCGTACGTGTAAGCTTCGTACTCAAACTGCTTTCCGACGAAAACTTGATGGTAGTACCGGGGGGAAATACGGTACAGGACGGTAGGAGGCTTAGTTCGGGCTAAAGTCACACACTGACGAGCTAAACAGGCGAGTTGCTCTAGAGTTGCGATTGCGATTTTTTATTTGATTTTGTGCAAATGCGCAAAAAGGTAGCTTTTAAATTTTATTTTATACAAATTAATTTAACAATTATTAGTTTAATTTATAACTAATTTTCAATACATAATTAAATTTAAATATTTATTATGGTTCTATAGACCAAATAAATAATAAATATCGTGTGTGGTGTGCAAGCTTGAATTTGAAAACACGTGTTGCGTTCGATTTCTAGCGCTATCTCTTTAACTAAAACTTGTTGTTTCATGCGTTGATATGTATGCTTATGCTTTGACAAGAATTTGCATATTCAACGTTTAAGTCAAACGCACGCTTCGCAAACGCATACTTTGAAGCTTCGCCTTTAATTAAGACGGAATACCCCAAAAATTTTATTTAAATTTAAGCTAAATGGTAACGCTGTAGTTGATTGCTGTCTATTGTGATTAGGAATGGCAAAAAAATAAAATAATCGATTTAATAATAATATGAATAATCACACGCCAAAAAAAAAGTAATGCAATTATTGATTAATCGATTATCGAATTTTTAAAGGCACTTTTTTACAGTGAGTATTCACAAAAACATTTTTCCATAAAAATTTTAACAAATAATTTGCCTTTAATTAAATAAAACGAATATTTTTAGCGCCAAAAATTATTTATTATGTAACCATTTTTGTAAAAATCAAAAATTTTGATAAGCGCTTGTTGTTAAGCGGTTGTGTTTCTCGCTGTTTGCAGCACAAGCTTTTGAAAAAAGGCCCTCAGCAGGCACCGCGGTACGCAGTAACACTGACAACACCGGGTGTGGCAAAGAACCAACAAAGAGCATACGAAAGAGAAGTGTCATTTGTATAATGTGCAGCACAATGCGTATTTATACAAGGTGGTGTTGCTAGAATTCGCCGCGGTCCTTCTGAATGTAAAAATTTTGTGTTTGTTGCATTTTCGGGTCTTGAACTTGTATTAATGCGCCTTGGTGCAGCAATAAGCAAATTGAGCTTTTGCAAGCAACACTCCCCAAACCTTCGGTGGGGAACATTTATGCTGTTACAAAAATAACATGCGCTTTAGCGTGAAGAGTCGCAATTGCGCCGACACACTTTTCTGATTCCGGGAGTGGTGCTGGAGTTAGTATGTCAACGAAAAAAAATTTGCGCATTTACTCAGGCCTACTTTACAATGGGCTTGCATGCACAGCTATTTACACCATTGCCTGCGCTGAACTTGAGCAATTCTTGCTGCTGTTTGACGTTTTAGACAGCTACAGAATTCATATTCCTTGTAAATATTTTTACAATTCATCGATTAATGAAACACAAAACTGCGATAAAGTTAAATCGTTAATTGGGCAAAAACAATCGATAAATTTCAGCAAATGATTCATCGCTGCCATTTCTTATGGTGATTTCAAAGGCGGCAAAGAAGAAGAATTCTATACCATAAAATTTATCCGCACGTGTATATTTAATTTGAAGTTTTTATTCTATCAGATTAATAAATCTTTGTAGTAATGCCTCCAGTACGCAAAGCCAAGCCAGAAAACCGTCAAATTTCTAAAGAATCTCTGGAGACTACTGCAGTCGTTTCAGGGCAGGTAAATTGAAAATGTGCTGGACTCTGGGAAAGTGATGTTGACATGTGCATTGGTATTTTTTAGTGTTTGGCTGAAAACTGTGTTATTGTAAATTTGTGTAAGCCAAAAAATTTAAAGCTATATAAAATGTCTATACATATTGAGTGTCTTCCATAAATAAATACAAAATATTGAATGTTCCATACATAAAATAACTGTTCCATATATTTACAGTTAGACAAGAAAATCAAGAAACAGCAACAAAGGAATAATGATAAACGCGGGATTGTCTTTGTTAAGCATCTTCCTCATGGATTCTTCGAAGAACAATTGAAGAACTACTTTGAACAGTTCGGTGCAGTTTCACGCGTACGGCTTGGACGTTCACGTCGTACTGGTGGCAGCAAAGGCTATGCCTTTGTGGAATTTGAGTATCCGGAAGTAGCAGAGGTGGCTGCTGAGACTATGGATAATTACCTTATGTTTAAGAAAGTGGTTAAAGCCTCTTATATTCCTCCAGAAAAACAGTTATTCAACTACTTTAAAACCTCTGTGCGGAAAGTAACAAATAAGGTAATACAAACAAAATAGCACTTGCTCCCATTATTAACTCGGGGTTTCTTGTAAAATTATAGGCTGGCAAAGATTTATATGTATCTCATAAAACAGCCGCAATACAACGCAAAGTAAAGCAAATGAATAATTGGTCCAACAAGAGTTATCAAAAGCGCGCGTTAAAAAAATTGGAAAAGGTGAAAAAACTAAACCGAAAGTATGCGCATTTGGGCATTGATTTTTCAAAGATACTTGTTGAACCGAGTAAATTAGATCAAGATGATAAGACAGAAGTTGCAGAAGCTATTGAAGAAGGTCCCAAAACAAAAACGCGTGGAAACAACTTAAAAAGAGGTGTTGCTGAGGAAAATAAGAAATCAAAAAAGTCAAAGAAAGATATAGAACTGCAGGATCTACTTGGCAATACAATAAATGATGATGATTCGGGGGACGAAGACTACATTGTTCCACCCCATATTGATGGTGAAAGTAAGGATGAAGATGAGAACAGTGAA